AGGAAATAAGAATTTCGTAATTCTTCGTCGTAAAAGTGCTGAATGCCTTAATGTTTTATATGCTTCTTGCCAAACAGCAATTTTGCTCCCTCACTTCTTGGGTTAATCTCTTGTCATTCCTGTGGGTTGTTGAAAATGCAAACAATACCTAATTTTACTACTTATCCATACTATGTTTTCTGAAGAAATGAACGCTCTATGATGAGTACCTGAAAAGCAAATCAAAAGTAAAAGTGTATACTTACTTTTGAGACGCCCCTGAATAATATATAACTCGTTTTTCTAACAGGGGTCCATGGTTCTGTTGAGAACAAACAATGCTATTGTCTTTGCGGCACAAAACATATGTGGGGGGGGGTGGGATTTTCGATTTATTGGAATAATACCGAAATGAAATTGTTTTCGACCTCAATAACACGCCAAACCGACGAAAACAATCGGCGATTTCAACAAAATGCAATCGCAAACGTCTTTAGCGACTTTTACTCATTCTTAAAGTATAGGCTGAATATTTCAGGGGAGGAGTCGGGGAAACGTCCACATGCATAATAACTGTTAAAAATGAACTGCCTTTCTTTTCGCAGAAACTGTACATAAATTCATATGCACTTCTCCATTTTTAAGTCCATGCTTACGAAAAGAAATTAACTGGCTAACTAATCCCATACCTGACATGGACTGCAAAGTTGTAACATTTTCCAAAGTGGAGCGCAAATGAAAAGTTTAAGAACCACTGCTATAGTCGTTATTTATAGTCAACTTATAATAAAATTCATTAATTCCTTAATTTTTTACAAGTTTCTTCCCAATTTTAATTAAAACTAATGCCATGTTGTTGTTGCATTTTCATAACCATAGAACATTACCCAAGGTAGCTTACCGAAATCACTTTCTCATTTAAATGTATTTGGCCGTATGTTATTGCTTTACTCCAAGAGCGTAGCCAGCCCAAAATTTTGGGGTAAGGAAAACTTTTTTCTATAGTGACGTAATACGACGCTTACTCATGCCCTCTTGTTCCGAACAAGACTAGATACAGAAGCCACTGATATCCAACAATATTCTAAGAATCTCGCTACGGACTCACTTTGCTGTCGAACCCAAATCCAATTTACAGTTATTTCGGTGTTATTTTTATTTAATGAACCTTTCCCCGAGCATCGACTTCCTTGTTTACTTCGTGACATTGGCCAAACAGCAAGATGCAAAAAGTGACGTAACAATGCTCCCTTTTCGCACCCGCTCAGACACTTTTCTCACTCAGACCGTAATTATATAGCTCAGACATATTTTCAGGCGTGGTCGTAAACATTACCTCGTTTTCGCGTTTTTGAACTCTATTCGTTAGTTTTCAGTTGTGTTTCGGAAATTTGAATATATATCAGATAACTCAATGTCTGTCTTCCTAGGAGTTTTAATTTGAACGCAATAATAAAAAATTAGTGTAGAAATAGCTCTGATGGACTAGGCTGGAATTCTTTATCGGTACCTTTAAAAACAGATTGTTGTATGCGATAAATTATAAGATGGTTTGAAACATATGCCCCATTTTACAGACGCCAACTCGAGACACCACTCTCAAAATAAGCTCCTTTTGACATGGTTGAGTATAGGAAAAAATTTTCGGGGGTCAAAGGTTGGGGAAAGGTCTATATCAATGAATAATGCCAATTTCCTTTTCTGAGATTTTGTTGCTAATTCAATCCAAGTCGTTTAAAGGAGTCGACACTGCTGTTATAAAATTTTGTTGTATTAGATTCTAATTCAAAATTCACATACAAACCTTCTAAATGCTGTTTTAATAATACCTTGCAATAACTGTTAACATAAAACGTTGTTCTGAGAGACTATGGCCTATTACGACAATCGAGGAATTTCATTAATCATTTCGCTTGTAAGGCTTTAATCTGATTTCTGATGTTCATCATTTTTATAGCTCCCAAATCTTCACTGCAACTTATATTCTTACTAATCATTTGTGCTTTATCATTGAAATAATTGTTTCCAATTTCTGAATATATTTTTCGGACATATGTTAAAAGCTAGCATATACAATATTTAGATAACATATTGTTTGCTGCAATATTGTTTTCTACAATTTTCCTTATCATTTTGTTATATGAAACTCAGAGTGATAAGCCGCCCTTTTGTTAATATCTTTCTTTTTTCCACTCTTAGTTTTACATCATTTGGTTCTAAAAGATTCATACGCATGTAAATTGAACTCATGCTTTGATACAGAGGGTTGTTGGCCATAACTTTCAGAGCTCGGTTTTGTAAAACCGATATAGATGGCAGTCTACTTTTATTTGCTGAGCCCCATGCCACAATTCTAAACTGCATGTGGGCATAAAAATATTGAAATAAATAGTTCTCATGACTTTTTTGGGTATAAATATTTTTAACCTAATCCAAATTCTCACTACCCTAGATAACTTCAATTTAAGGCAATTTATGTGGTTATCCCACTTTAATTTGTTATCGATAAATACCCCTAGATATTTGACAGAGTCCTGTATCTTCAGTTTGGTACCATTCAAAGTATAATTGAGATTTAGTGGAGTCTTGGAGGGATAATTAATTGACAGTACCTGGGTCTTAAGTGGATTGGATTTATTGGATTTTATCCAAACAGAAATATTTTTCAGGTTTTGCTCAACTTGGTAAGACAATTCAGTTATACAGTATTGGACGATATTGAGGCTGTGCTTGTGTCGTCAGCCAAAAGTGTTACAAAAGCCGAGGCGCAATTCACCACATCGTTGATGCATACTAGAAACAAAGTCGGGCCAAGAACGGGACCTTGCGGGACGCCTACGGATACAGGTTGACGATGTGATTCTTTGGCACAAAGTTTATTGGATTTTATCCAAACAGAAATATTTTTCAGGTTTTG